GGCCTGCTGTGTTCATCCAGCTCTACACCTGGTTACCTAAAAGAGATTGTTTGGCCGTTTGCTTAATTGTTGTTAGTGGAAACTTCTTGGGTGCCAGTTGGCTACCACATTTCCTGCAGAACAACTGTCACGGCATTTCAAAGACCCCTTCTTGGTTGTAAATCACTTTAGTAAGTGCAGAAATGCAGTGGGCGATGTCAGGTATGGGTAAGTGCCCCAGGCGGTCAGATTTTCATTCCAGGGTGACTTGTTGCCTTGGGAAGTGAACTAGGCAACCCCAGAATGACAGCAGAGGCTGCAAGCTGTGGATCTGGGCTGGGTGCAAGGCCCCAGGCCTCCTTTGTACTGCCACTGCACTGCATTTTAGAAAAAAAAACCAAACTGAAAAACGTCCATCTGCCCCCCGCCTCCCCCCACCCACCCACTCACTCCTAATGCCCCTTCCACTAGAACAAAAAGAACAAAAGAGAAATACAGCACAGGAACAGGCCCTTCGGCCCTCCAAGCCTGTGCTGATCATTATGCCCTGACTAAACTAAAAAAAAAACCTTCTGCCCTAATTCGGTCCATATCCCTCTCTTCCCTCCCTATTCATGTAACCATTCAGATGCCTGTTAAATGTTGCCGATGTGCCTGCTTCCACCACCTCCTCTGGTAGTGCGTTCCAGGCTCCTACCACTCTTTGCGTGAAATACTTTCCTTGCACACCTCCTTTAAACTTTCCTCCTCTCACATTGAATCTGTGCCTCCTTGTAATTGAAACTTCAACCCTGGGAAAAAAACCTTTGACTGTTCATCCTATCTATGCCTCTCATAATTTTGTAGACTTCTATCAGGCCTCCTCTCAGCTGCCGTCTTTCCAGTGAAAACAATCCTAGTCTTTTTAACCTTTCCTCATATCCAATTCCCCAGAGACTGGGCGACATCCTGGTGAATCTTCTCTGCACGGTCTCTAAAGCTCCCACGTCCCTCTGGTAATGTGGTGACCAAAACTGCACAAAGTACTCCAAATGCGGCCTATCAAGGGTTTTATATTGCTGCAACGTGGTTTGCCAACTCCATGCCCCAACTGATGAAAGCAAGCCGTATGCCTTCTTAATCACTTTGGCCTCCTGCGTTGCCACTTTTAGGGAACGGTGGATCTGTACACCCAGATCCATCTGTATGTTAATGTTCCTAAGGGTTCTACCATTTACAGTATAATACTCACCTAAATTTGATCCTGCAAAATGCATCACCTCATATTTGTCTGGATTAAACTCCATCTGCCATTTCTGTGCCCAAGTCACCAATCTATCTATATCCTGTTGTATCCTTTCACAATCGTCAGCACTATCAGCAACTCCACCAATCTTAGTGTCATCTGCAAACTTACTAATCAGACCACCCACGTTTTCCTCCAGATCATTTATATATACTACAAACGACTGAGGATTTAAGATTGATCCCTGTGGAACACCACAGGTTATTGGCCTCCATTCTGAAAAACACCCTTCCACCGCTACCCTCTGTCTTCTATGACCAAGCCAGTTTTGTATCCATCTAGCCAGCCCACCCCGAATCCCATGTGATTTTAGTTTCTAAGCCAATCTTCCAAGTCAATCTGTGCCCCTCTATCCTGCCCCTCTATGGACCCTAATATCACCAGAAAGCAGCGATGCCAAATCCAATTTAGAAACACGGGAGCTGTCTCCAGAAATTGTACATGTGTGAAGCTCAGAACATCCACAAACTCGCCCCCACAAAATGGGAAATGGTATGTGCGTAGGCAGGTCTTCCAATTTTCGGGATTTTTGCCCAGACAGAGAGTGTCTTCATCCTGGCAAAAAGCCACACACAGATTCTTCCTTTCGCCTATTCTGTCTTGCACTCTTTCACCTTTCATTTGAAGTCTAATAGGACCTCCTTTAAAAGGGGCCTGGACTCACTTGCAATTTATTAGAAACGTTACTTTTTTTAATGAGATAACAAGGTGTAGAGCTGGATGAAATTTTTTCTGAAGAAGGGTCTAGGCCCGAAACATCAGCCTTCCTGCTCCTCTGATGCTGCTTGGCCTGCTGTGTTCATCCAGCTCTACATCTTGTTATCTCAGATTCTCCAGCATCTGCAGTTCCTACTATCTCTTACTTGTTTTAATGTAACTCAAGGTTTATTTTCTCTAACACATCCAAGGAATCCAAACTTTTTGAAATTGTCTATGTTAAGGGAAGGTGTTGTTTTTGAAGTACTTTGAGTCACTGTTGTGTTTGGAGGATTGTTGCACAAGTTATCAGAGGACAAATAATTATTTACCTTGTCAGAAACTGCAAATGTGACTGTTTTAATATAACTAACTTCACGTGTGCTTATGTGTTGTTAAAAATAATCAATGGGGTGAGCACCATAACAATGAACCAGATGAGTGCACTCCAAAGGAACTGAAGTTGGGAGCAAACTCTAATGATTCCTGTCTAAATACTGAACAAATTTTAATTTATCGGCATGATCTGGATGAAGTTTTTAACGCTTTGAAACCCATGATCATACCGAGTCACAGAACAGGCTCTCAACAATTGAATAATCGATTGCTGTCCTTGTTTCCTGTGCCCTTTCCTTATTCAGCGGTTAAAATTGGCATCAACATTTCTGATAGGAGAACACTTCTGTATTATTTATTAATTACCTTTTTGGTGTTGTTTTATTCCAGGTGTGTTGTACGAATTTGGAAGGCCAAACCTTCTTCTCAAAGAAAGACAAGCTCCTATGCAAGAAGCATGCTCACACAGTGAACATGTAAAACTCATCAATGAGCTGTGAGAAAGATGATGATCGAAGATAACATTTGGAGGGATGGAATAGAAATGAATATTTTGCTTTTTTTTCTTTGTTGCTGTGAAAGACATCCAAACCATAACTTAGTCACTGGGGTTTGAAGGGGGAAGGGGTTGGTGTGAGGTGTTTGAATCTATTTTGGTTTTGGGCTCTTTTTAGATCTTTAATTCCAAATACATGGGTCGTTGGTAGCCAGTGTCATGGCTGCATTTCACTGGCTGAAGAACTGCATTCAAATAGCTATCTTGAATCTTTTAATGACCTGTTGCATAACATTTATTTAGGTATGCCTTCAAACATAGATCCTGCCTTTTTCTTCCAAACTTTGCATAAATGATCCCTGTTGCTGTAAAGGCTTTATGTAATAGTGTAGACATTCAGTTAAAATGATCATAATAAGTGTTTACTAGGACACTTTTCCAAACTTATTATCAGCCTAATTTGTTTAGAATCACATTAAGTCACTGTCTATTTTGAAATATTGCCATTTCTGGATTCAGAATTAACTTGGTCCCTTTTGTGCATTGAAGAGCATTTCCACAATTAAGCTCCTTACAACCATCAACTTATTTGGGAAGAAATTAATTCATGAGACAGCAAACATTGCCTATGGATTTGTGAATAAGTTGGCTGGAATTTGACGGATGCCTGTGAAGGGAAATAGTGTTTTATTTACGCAAAGGTGATGGACTGGTCAGTCTTGTTGATGTTGATCTCGGTTGGAATATGCATAGTGTAAGAGACATGTACCAGCAGCTTCAAGGATTTCAAATCATTGTGATGTGTTTCTTGTGAAACATCTTTAACCACTGTTTAATGGTTAAATTAAATGCCACCCTATTGTGAAAATCATGGTTGAAGTTGGGAATAACGAAGCCACCAAGCTCTGGGAATCCTGGAATTGTCCAATTTTATTAAACTAGAAGAGTGTGGTGTGAAATTTAATGCTACAAATTAACTGGTAATTACTTTCCTGGATCTGCTGGGCTATGTTTAAAGTTAGTGTAGTGTGTCTTAAATTTGCATCTCATCTGACTGGCAGACTAACTGGGGACTGGTGAAGCGGCATTCTGATGGTGTTGAAATCAATTTTGAGAACCAGAACAGGAAGGACTTTGGGTGGTAGGAAATCTCTCACTGTCACAATGTAGAGAAGGGGGGATTCTAGACTTCATAAGCGTCCTTTGCCATTTATTATGACTGGACAGCTGAATGGTGATCTGACCACAAGGTCAATTTGGATCAGGCACCTTTGTGGAGAACCAGGAATTATCTCAAGTTGAGCTTTTTTTTGTTAAAAGGAAAGTAAGGATCTACCAACTTCATCTCTGCAATGTACCGCAACCCATGGTATGAACAAAGGAGTTACTTGTTACAGGGTACTGGAGCTTGGTTTTTAACTGCCTAACTCATATTGCATTATTTATATTGTCTGAAGCTGTTTAGATAGGGGGATTTATAATGCATCTTGAGATGATCAAGTGTTTATAGCTAGATTATTCCTGCTCCCCCTTCTTACATTATTGATCAAAGAGATTGGGAGGGGTGGTTGATCTAACTAGTGTGATGGTCATCAGTGTTTGTGGATTTCCACCTGTTTAATTGTGCCAAGCCTTGGGTTAATGAATGGGTGGTTTTACTTCTTGTACCCTGATATAAAGTTAAATGGTCCTGTTGTACTGGTCTAATGCTGTGTACATGAATGAGTGTGCAGGACTGGTGAGGGGAGTGCAGGTGTTGGAGAGGAATTTCACATGCATTCCTTTGACCCTCAGCCAATACTTGGCTTTGCAAGCCTATAAAGGAGTTGCAATGCCATTGTACCGAATGAACTTAAAGTCAAAGAGCTGAGAAATGTGTCAGGTCTATGAAAGCGTGAAAGCCCAAGACAATTTGTGTATAAAGAACATTTCTTGTTGACAGAAAGTTTCACAGTTGCCCTCGGGAGTTAAAGTATTTGCTGCTCTCCCGTTCCATGTGTAATAGGGCAAGATATCCTGGGTGGCAAGGGGAGAGCTGTACCTATTTGTTAATTTAGTGTGAGACCATCATTCTTACTTCAGTATGTTCCATGTTTTAAGTTAACATATAGCTCATGTGTTTAGGTCAGTTAAAAGTTTCACCTGTCAAAGCTAGTCTCACAAGCAAAGGTGCGCATCATTTTAGTGTGATAATGTTCATAGACAAACATAGCTTCTCATATGTTTTATCTTTTAAGATAGGATCCACAGATTAAATTTTCTTTAGACAGTTCATAGCACGATCATTAGTTTTGTAAACTCAAGAACAGGGAGCAGTCCCATTACAATCCATTATAATTGGATTAAAGGGCAAATTGGCCAGAAAATTCATTTGTTTGGCCCACTCTGACTGCTTTTATGCAATAGAATAACACACATCTGGCCTTGTCTGTGGTCTCTGGGATGTATCTTTCATAAGAATGTACAATTAGGTAATGTGATAACCAAGCAGCCCGATTACCTACAGAAAAGAACTAAAGGGCTAAGTTTAAAACCATCTAACACTTTGATACAGTATTACATTTGTCTATAGTTCTTAGGGTGAGAGGTCTTATGTGGTATCTTCAGATGGACGAGTCTGTTGTGTGCTGGAGGTGAGTCACAGGCGAAGTAGTCAACAACGCAAGATGATCATCCAATATTGAGTTTCTCCATCATTTCAAGTGACAATGTGCCACTATAATAACTAAATGCAATGTTGCTAATTCCTCTCATTCTCAACTGTTGGACCTTTTGTTTCTTAAGGATGAACTGAAATTCTCAAAATTGTGCTGAGCTTTTGCAGAAGTAATTGTCACTCAGGCAATTTTTTTTGATTTTTAAAGGTTGAAATGTATTTTCTTGACTATATTGAAATATGGTGCCAGGTGTGGAAGCGAATAAAAGTGGGTTGTTCCTGTTTACGCACGCTGAGGATCTGAATGAATGTGTGTCAATTATCTATCTGCATCAGTTCCCTTTAATGCTACAGGTGCTTGTCTACAAAAGAGAGAGGAATCAAAGAGTATACACCTGGCATGAATTGCATGAGAGAAAAATGTAGTCATTGTTGAAAAATTAACTTGTGATTTTAAAAAAACAAGCTTTTTCTGTCAGCACATTTTAAGAGTAAGTTAGAATGAGAGCATCCTGTGCCAAAATACATGCTTACTCTCATTCACCTAAAAGCCATAGTAAAGGAGGATCCAGAGTTGTGTCGGAAGGAAGATGTGGAGAGTTGATATTTTGACATGTGTTTAGCTCTTCATTTCTACCCTCCCCACCCGACTCTATCACTAGCCCCATACATTTGTTATGTAATTCATAACAGATGTTACTATGGTCAAAACTCACTCGACACCAGGTTATAGTCCAACAGGTTTATTTGAAATCACAAGCTTTCGAAGCGCTGCTCCTTTGCCTGATGAAGGGGCAGCGGTCTGAAAGCTTGCAATTTCAAATAAACTTTTTGGACTATAACCCTGGTGTCATGTGATTTTTGACCTTGTCCACCCCAGTCCAACACTAGCACCTCCACATCACTGATGTTACTATAGCAATTAACTTGACTTGCCATCAGTTCATTTCAGCCTGCTCTCTGCAACACATATTTGTCTGTGAACTAATTTGGATTTGTGCAGTACCAAGTGCACTTCGAGGAAATGCTTAACATTTTGTGCTGAATCTCAGTCGCTTGTTTGAACGGGTACATTGTGGTTATGTGTTGACTTATTTAGCAAACAAACCAAAGCCTTTTTAATATTACCCGAAACAGGATGATGTGAGCGTTCACCCTCTCATCGTTCTGGAGCAGATTGTATGAAATATTCTTGACGTACTTGAGAAACATTTCAGATGGTCAATCTACCTGTGTTTGCTCCACTTCCAACTGGATTTAGAATTGATTTTCAAAAGGCCTTGAGATGTTGAAAGCTGAAAATTAAAATCACTGAAACAACATAAGGAAATCTACCTGGATTTAAAATATTTTAAAGAGTTGTATGAGAGTTTGCTTTTATATTTATGCATGCCTCATTTATGAATATATGCAATGAGAATACTTTTGAACTGAAATGCTTAATTGCCAATGTGCTTCCACTCAATCACTAGTTTGACTGTATCAGAAGTATAATAACATGATTTGCTTCCCTATATGCACATTAATAAATTTTTATTTCACATTCTTTACAAGAAGTTTTTTTTTACATTTCCAAGAAGTCTCTTATTTGCTCTTCAGTCATACCAATATAATTCACTTCTTTATTTAACAGTTCAAGGTGCTGATCTCACTACCCATTTCTCCCCAGTCCACTTTCAGGGGAATGCTTCTTTTCCCCAGGTGCAAACATCAGGATAAAGAAGTTGAGACCATTTCAACAAATGATAGATGTGGAGATTGTTTAAGGAATGCATGCTGCATGTGCTCGATATGTTTATCCCTAGCAGGCAGGGAAGATGCAGTCGAGTAAGGGAGCCTTGGCTCTCGAGGGAGGTCGAACAACTGGTTAAGAGGAAGAAGGATGCTTATGTAAGGTTTAGGAAACAAGGATTGGAAAAGGCTCTAGAGGGATACAAGTTATCCAGGAAGGAGCTGAAGAAAGGGCTTAGGAGAGCTATAAGGGGGCATGAGAAAACCTTGGCAGATAGATAAAGGAAAACTCCAAGGCTTTTTACACATACATGAGGAATAAGAGAATGACCAGAGAAAGGGTAGGGCCAATCAAGGATTGTAAAGGGAATTTGTGCACGGAGCCTAAAGAGATAGGAGAGGTCCTTAATGAATACTTTTCTTCAGTATTCACAACTGAAAGGGACCTAGTTGTAGAGGGGGACGGTGTGAAACAGGCTGGTAGGCGAGAGGAGGTCAATGTTAGTAAGGAAGATGTACTAGGAATTTTGAGGAATTTGAAGATAGATAAATCCCCCAGGCCTGATGGGACTTATCCGAGGATTCTATGGGAAGCGAGGGAAGAGATCGCAGGGCCTTTGGCAATGATCTTTTTGTCCTCACTGTCCACGGGTATAGTGCTGTAAGATTAGAGAGTGGCAAACGTCATTCCTTTGCTCAAAAAAGGGAACAGCAATAACCCCAGAAATTACAGGCCAGTTAGTCTTACTTCAGTGGTGGGCAAATTATTGGAAAGGGCTCTGAGAGATAGGATTTATGATCACTTGGATAGGCACAGTTTGATTTGTGATAGTCAACATGGATTTGTGAGGGGCAGATCATGCCTCACAAACCTTATTGAATTCTTTGAAGAGGTGACCAAACACGTGGATGAAGGTAGAGCAGTGGATGTGGTATACATTGATTTAAGTAAGGCGTTTGATAAGGTTCCCCATGGTAGGCTCATGCAGAAAGTAAGGAGGCACGGAATAGGGGGAAATGTGGCAGATTGGATTCAGAATTGGCTGACCCTTAGAAGGCAAAGGGTGGTAGTGGACGGAAAATATTCAACATGGTGCTCAGTTGCGAGTGGTGTACCACAAGGATCTGTTCTGGGTCCTCTTCTATTTGTGATTTTTGTAAATGATTTGGATGAAGGAGTGAAAGAGTGGATTAGTAAGTTTGTGGACGATACGAAGGTGGGTCGCGTTGTGGACAGTGCGGAGGGCTGTTCTAGGTTACAAAGGGACATTGATAGGATGCAGAGCTGGGCTGAGAAGTCGCAGATGGAGTTTAACCCTGAAAAGTGTGAGATCATTCATTTTGGAAGGACAAATTTGAAAGCAGAATACAGGGTTAACGGAAAGATTCTTGGCAGTGTGGAGGAGCAGAGGGATCTTGGGTTTCATGTCCACAGTTTCCTGAAAGCTGTCACCCAGGTGGATAGAGTTGTTAAGAAGGCGTATGGTGTGTTAGCTTTCATTAATAGAGGGATTGAGTTCAAGAGCCATGAAGTTATGCTCCAGCTATACAAAAGCCTGGTTCGGCCACATCTGGAGTATTGTGTTCAGTTCTGGTCGCCTGATTACAGGAAAGATGTGGAAGCTTTGGAAAAGGTGCAGAGGATGTTGCCTGGAATGGAGGGTAGGTCTTACGAGGAAAGGTTGAGAGAGCTAGGGCTTTTCTCTTTAGAACGACGAAGGATGAGAGGTGACTTGATAGAAGTGTACAAAATGATCAGAGGTATTGATAGAGTGGACAGCCAAAGACTTTTTCCTAGGATGGAGGTAGCTATTATGAGGGGGCATAGTTTTAAAGTGAGTGGAGGTAGATATAGGGGAGACGTCAGAGGTAGGTTCTTTACTCAGAGAGTGGTAGGGGCATGGAATGCATTGCCGGAGAGGGTAGTGGAGTCGGCCTCATTAGGGGCATTTAAGCGACTATTAGATAGGCATATGGATGATAGTATAAGGTAAGGGTGGAGGTTAGCTAGACCTTAGGTTTAGGGTAAAAATTCGGCACAACATCGTGGGCCAAAGGACCTGTACTGTGCTGTACTGTTCTATGTTTTATGTTCTACGTTCTATGAATGGGCCTGTATTCTCTGCCCGGTGATTTCAGCTATATGTATCAAACTCTTAGAAGAGCCAGTATGAACTGTAGATGCTGGAAGCTAGAGTCAATAAATGTGAAGCTGGAAAAGCGCAGCAGGTCAGATAGTATCCCAGGAGCAGGAAAGTCAACATTTCGGGCCAAAACCTTTCATGAATCCTGATGAAATGTTGACTTTCCTGCTCCTCAGATGCTGTCTGACCTCCTGTGCTTTTCCAGCTCCATATTTACCTCTGCCACTCTACAGTTGATCTAATCCTCAATCATTTAAAATGTTTAAAAGGATTCAGCAGGGTAGCTGAGTGGTTCCCAAGCTGTGTGTCATATGGTAGTGAACAGAGTCTGCAAAAACTAAAATCATGTTAATGTTCCACCCCTTGTTGACAGCCATCATCATGGGCAGTCTCACAGATGAGGATGACTCTCCCACTCTCAGGGTGGCTGTACAGACCAATACAGCTTCCACAGGCTCTGTTACACCTGGGGCAGGTGGTGGTGGGAAGGAGTGGGTGGGGTGTTGGTGTGGCAGTGCGCTCCTTACACCATTTTCGCCTGGCTTCCATGTTTTCCCAATGGCAAGTCGCGAGGTGCTTGACGCGTTCGCGTACAGTCATCCTCCACTTTGGATGATCTTGGGCCAGTGATTGGCAGGTGGGAATGCTGCACTTTGCCAGTCAGGCCTTGAGGGCACCCCCAAAGTGCTTTCTCCATCCACCTGGGGCTTGCCTGCTGTTTTGAAGCTGGGTGTAGAGCACCTGCTCGGGGAGTCTTGTGTCAGTCATGTGGACAACATTCCCAGCCCATTGTAGTCAATCAAGGGTGGTCAGTGCCTCAGGATGTTGGCCTGGTTGAGGACGCTGATGTTGGTGCGTTTGTCTTCCATGTTGGCAGTAGGCAGCTGTAAATCACAAAATGAGCTGCTGGTGTCCGACATTCTTTGGTGCTGATGCCCTGAGCAGGAGTGCTGTGATGTAACTACCCATCTCTAGTTGCCCTTGAGAATTGTGGTGAGCTGCTTCTTAACCTACAATGGCCGTGGAGTGAAAGTAGACACAAAGTGCTTTTAAGGCTGGATTTCCTGAATTGTGACTCAACGGCATTGAAGAAGTAGTGTTATACATCCAAGACGGAAGGACGTGTGCGTCTGAAGTGATAACGTTCTCCTTTACCTACTGCTGTTACTCTTTCAATTGCATTTGGGAAGTGCTGCCAAAGAAGTCTAGAAGAGTTGCTAATCTGATGAGGGTCTGCAGTCTTTTAGCATTGATTTTCATGTTTTTCCATTCCCCATATACTCCAGGCTAATCCAGTATTCACCTGGTGTGATAACTCTTAATCCCTGCCCAACAGACCCTCTGGCCTTAAAAATAATTTTACAGGTATAGAACAGAGAACAGTACAGCGCAATTACAGAATAAGTAAGTCAATAATTTTGTTAAAAAATGTTAGTGCAGTGATACTGCTTTCAAAGGGAATAGATAATTAACAAGCTTCTCCTTGTGGAGAAACAAACATCACTGGCTTCTAAAGCAAAAGCAGAACAAGTAAATTATGTATCAAGATAGAGTCATAGAACTGTACAGCATGGAAACAGACCCTTCAGTCCAACTCCTCCATGCCGATTAGATATCCTAAATTCATCTACTCCCATTTGCCAGCATTTGGCCCATATTCCTCTAAACCCTTTCTGTTCATATACCCATCCAGATGCCTTTTAAATGTTGTAATTGTACCCACCTCCACCACTTCCTCTGGCAACCCATTCCATACACACACCACCCTCTGCGTGAAAAAGTTGCCCCAAGTCCTTTTTAAATCTTTCCCTTCTCACCTTCACCTATGCCCTCAGGTTTTGGACTCCCCCCACTCCCCCTCCCCACCCCAAAATAAAAGACCTTGGTTATTCAGCCTATCCATTTCCCCTCATGATTTTATAAGCCTCTATAGGGTCACCCCTCAGCCTCTGAAGGTCCAGGGATGAAAAGCTCCAGCCTATTCAGCCTCTCTCTAAAGCTCAAACTATCCAATTCTGGCAACATCCTTGTAAATCTTTATTAAACCTTTTCAAGTTTCATAACGTCTTTCCTATAGCAGGCAGACCAGAAAAGCATGCAGTATTCCAATAGTGGCCTAACCAATTTACTGTATAGCCACAACATAACCTCCCAATTCCTATACTCAATGCACTGACCAATGAAGGCATGAGGATGAAAATATAGGGGAAGAAAGACCTTGAGAATTTTTGAAAGATCAACTTCTCTATAAGTACCTTTTTGAACCAGATAAATCACTATTTGCATAGAACAGAAACACATCTACAAAATATAAAATAATAAAAGATCTGTAAGTCAAATCACTGCCCCTTTGAAAATAATAGTATTTCCTTAAAGAAGAACATAATTGGGAATATCAGAAACTGAGGAGCTTTGAAACTGTACTGGATTTCATAATGATGAAATCTAAACTGACATAATCTGGATTCATTAGGTGTGATTATGGATCTAAACTTCTACCTCCGGGAACCTGCTGAAAGGAACAAGTGGTACTGTGCTGCAATGTGAAGGAAATGATTGAATCTCATGGGTACCTGCAACTTCATGGATCCAGGCACCTGGTGTAGAATGATACATCTATGATAATATTCTACAAAGGAGCACAAGATGTAGGATCAGAAGTAGGCCATTCAGTC